TCCCTGCTCAGTTTTGCTGCTTTGGGTATCTGATTTCCTCTTAATTTCCTTAAGCAATCCACCATGCTTCCCGAGACCCTTTACAGCTGGCTCAAGCTTAGCTTCTTCTGTTTGCTTAGGATCAGATTTCCCAGAGGCCTGATTTTGTAAATGTTGTACCCAACATGCCCCCAGCTCCCATCTGATAGATTGTTTGTGTTTAGTGCCTTCTTCCTGCAACTTCAGCAAGCTTTTCCCTAGCACCTCCTTTACCAAAGAGCTAGCAGAATTTAGGTCTTCAACATCTGCATAGTGCAATCTCAGAACTGCACCAGTTGATTGAGGTGTAGATGACTTATGCAATAGCATTCTTAAGCTGAGGAGTCAGAAGGAATGGAAATAAGTGTTAGCATTCCATAGCACCATAATGAATCACATACCTTAGTGACTTCTTGAAGCAGTAGGCATATACAATCTAGGATGCACAAACACTTCATTTTGGCAAGAGTGTCGATGTCGGACACGTCGGGGATATGGACATGCTTCGTACACATTCAGACACTATAAAATGAGTGTCCAATTTTGCCATTGTTAAATTTTTTCATGACACATTGAGACATGTGGCCGAAACGCTCAGGACACATTAGGGACACGCAACTGACATGCCGAGAATATGTTGAGAACACGCAATCGACACACTGGGGACACGACGAGGACACATTTTGAGTTTTTTATTTTTAATTTTTTGAAAACGTTTCAAATAACTTTATAATTAAGAGAGTTATTATTGTAATTTTAAAGATATATGAATCAAAATCATAATATAAAATGAGTTATAATCACTACATTGAACGTGAGACATTTGTTCCAAAAAAAAACATAGGACATGATTGTAACATAATTTTAGATACGAATACGAATTTGTATACAAATGGAATAAATTTTTAATATAAAAATAATGAGATAAATTTTTTGGAATTGATGAAAATTAGTGTTACAAAGTGGAATATTTTTTAAAATGAAAATTGTAGTAGTCATTGATTGTTGGATCATAGATGTTAATAATGAATGTGTATCGACATATCTTATCTTGTATCTTTTATGCAATAATATCATGATGTGTATTTTTAGAATTAGGGAAATGATGAATTAAAAGTTTATTATGATGATATTTTTATTTGTCCTACTTTTTGAAAAAATTCATGTCAACGTGTTCGTTTCTTATCATATCCATGTATCCATGTCTGTACTTCTCAGTATACAATACATGGTTAGCACTTAGCAGTTAGCAGGTACAACAAAAGGATATCTAATAAAATGAGGGTATACAGATAGAACTTTATGTATGAATAGTTAATAAGATCAACTTTGTTGCACTGACCTATTCACATTCAATGCATTAGCGCCTCCGTCAGGCTGGTCCTCAATGTTGATGTCCTGAGGGATTGTGTTGCCATCCCAATTCACTTCGGCAGCGACTTTCACAACGGCCATATAACCGCAGTGTCTAACAACTACTACACCCAGAGTGGAAGTATCCTGCAAGTAATAAATGGAATATTGGCCTTTGATATCAGCAGCTACAACAAGAAAAATAATGGAAAGTCTTTATACTAACATGAACAGTTGCACTCTCATCTGCAGTTATGCCTTTAAACAAGTTTCTCCGAGCAATCTCTTCCTGTGACATTCCAAGAACCAGACTCCCGTCATTTTTACCATCCTGCTTTGTGCTTGCGTCAGGCACATCTTTTGTCAGACGGATTAGCAGATCTCCTACTCTTTCCTCATGGGAACTGGAACCAGTGACACCATTTGGAGACCACTGATAATTGTCAATGAGATGTTTGATGGCTCCAACTGCTTTAAAGACAGAAACGTCGACAAATAGACTGTGAAGTAGAAAGGCTTTCCTATCTCTAATTTGCCTCTCCTCTGCTGTTTTACAAGGCATTGCAGCCAGAATTGAGAACTCCTTTGCCCATGGTCTATAATCATGTTTACCATCTCTTCCCTGTCCGCCCCCATTTCCCCCCCAGTTTTCATCTTCCACAGGAAATGGTGGGAACATTGATGGGTTATCAGCGATAACTGGAGGCACAACCCATGTGTTTGCTCGAAAACCATAAGGAAGGTTCCCAAACTGAAACACAACTTATGAAACTAAACAATCGTCTAGCCAAAAACTAATTGAATGTGGAGATGCCATATAATTCACTTACTTTGTTGTGCTCAGTGAAAGCTTTCATGAGAGCTTTGTATGCCTGCACACATAGGATAACTTATATTACAAAGAAGGAATTCAAGTCAACTCAAGTATGAAGAGCACAGACACTCGTGCACTAAATACATTAATAGTTGGTGCAATGCAAGTGGTGCTAAAGAAAGGGATCCCAAAGGCAAACTAATTCGACAACAGTATATAACATTATCTTTACTCACAGCATCAAAGATCCGACTTATCTGCTGCAACAGACCAACCAAAGAGTGGCTCAAAAGAATACGTTTTCCTGCTGGATAGAACCCTTTCAGAGAAGCAACAACTGTTGTTGGCTTCCCACTGCAAACTCGAACCTGCATAACAATTTACAAGTCCATCCCAACCCAATTTAGATGTTATTAGTTTAATGAACCAAAACCACTACCAATGAACTCAGAAAGCAGAAGTGCTCAAGAGAATATTTTAGCAAGAAAAGAAAGAATTAAAGGACCCTCACATCTATTTGAAATAAATCATCATCTGTTTTATCCTCCAGGAACGGACGAGTGGACCTTCGAATGTCTGTGAAACCAAAACAAAAATCAACAACACAGGCTCTTCACTGAATAAGATAAAGAGAGTTAAATTATACTAATGCAATTGCAAGAAGAATAACGTAAAACTTCAAATTTAGCATTTTCGATACCACGAATGGAATAAAGGAGAATGGCATAGTTATCGCACCACAACCCATTAAATCAGAATCAAAATTCAATTTTCGGGCGAAAAGAATGATATCCACAGGGAAAAAAAAACTATAATAGGAAAACCAAAAATCAAATTGGTAATAAGAACAGATGGGAAGACTCAAGAATTGACCAAGAAAATACAAAAATTATGCAATAAAAAAAAAAAATCCTAAATCAGCTAACTTCCTTTCATTTTAAAGTAACCATGGAATTAACGTATAATTGGCACAACAGGCCCAATAAACAATAAATACATAAATTCCAAACTCATCATTTTTCAGCGTATCATTTTCGCCTTTCCGGTAAACAAAAAAGTATTATTCTACTGAGCAGATTACAAATGGAGAACCAACAAGCTTCACCACCATTGTACAGACCAAAACGTACATGTTTTTGTTATTTTTTTTAGTTTTCACTTTTTCCTCCAGTTTCTCGGCAACCAAACAGTAAAGCACAAATATTACTTACTTTCCTTTTTCTTCAATTTTCTCGGAAACGAAACAGAAATTCAAAAGAAAAACTCACATTGAATAGGCGGAGTGAGGTTGGCGAAAGAGAAGAAGTCGTAGAACTGCCCGAGACTAGGCGGCGGATACATCATCGCAGCCGCGACGTCACCTTTCTCCGCCGGCTCAGCAATCTCCGACGACTTCGCCGGCTTGTCCCCATGGGGGTGGGACCCACCGGTGCCGGAACACGATATCTTCTTTTCAGCAGCACCCTTGGGCTTCGTTGTAGTAATTTCGGCGGAACCATTATTGTCTGGACCGGGCTCGACGTCGTTTGAACCGGAATCTTTTGAGTTGGGTTCTTTTGAACCGGTTCGACCGGCGGGTTTGGGAGAAGACGAGGACGCACCGAAGGAGGTCGCGCAGGCCACGATATCGAGGAGTCGTCTGATGTGTGCTACGGCTTGTTCTTCCGTGTAGTCCTCTGCAAATTATCAATATTTAGAATGCAACCCCTGGGGTCTTTCTTAATTATGAATCTACCCATATTTTTTTTTTTAAAAGGTGAGACATTCATCCATTAGCTCAAATGATCTTAAGCATCCAACTATAAAAGAAATGAATTTGTTTGTATCTTCTTCAACATCTTTTGACTTCCTTAAACTTTAAAATGAAATGGTTTGTATCTCTAAAATATTTAAGTAGAATTTATATTTTCATAAAAATAATATACAAAATAAAATAAGTTAACATACCAATAAAATTTAACAAATTTTGTGACCACGACAAGTTTGCTAGGCCCTAGTAAAGCAAAAGTAAAGGAACCAATAAGAGCCACCACGTTCTTAGTTAAACAATATAGTGTTGTCGATGCATGTTTCTCAATGACGTATTCAAAATGGTTGATCTATCACAGTTATTTCACACAATAGAATAATCGCATAATGACTGCAATAAAAGGGAAGGCTCCAACGAGAGTAAGGAAGTACATGGGTATAATAGCTTACCTCCCTCATTTATTTTGTTTATAAATTTGAATTATTAAAGGTATATGCGTGAGACAAAACATATTAAGTGAGAATATTTTTTAGTTTAATTCTTTCACCTATTATAAAATCTTATCCTAGTCTTGTCTTATAATATCATGAGAGCTCATGATTTCAATTTAATAAAATCTAATTGTTTCAATTCTTGTGCAATTACACGAAAAACTCAAATTTCTTTCGGATTTTCTGCACAATGCATCTCTAAAAAACTCTATAAAAGGCACTTGTTAATTAGAAAGTCATAGGGGTACTAAAATAATTTTATGTTAATACGATTATGAAAACACAGTTTAGCAGTTATGCGATAAAGGCTTTTGGGCCACGAGATACCTTGGACGATGGTGATGGTGCACGGTTTGAGAGAAACAACTTCCACCGAATCTTTCAGCCTTGGCCCTCGTACCTGTCCATTGGTATCAATAAATGTTATTTAATTTATTCTAATACTAATTATTTCTTGTGTTTAAAAGCACAGAATAATAAAAAAAAATTAATAATAAATATATTTGTATTCAGATTTAAAATCAAATTACAAAAATAGAAAAGATAAAAAAAGAATTTAAGCACCAATTATAATATAGGCGAACGGTGCTCGTGGTGGTGGGTGAAAGTGGTGGTAAGTGACAAGCAGTGGTTGTAGTGGTGAGTGGTAATGGTGGTGATGAGAGACAGTGATAGTTGTAATAGGTGACGATGATCGGTTATGATGGTGGCAGTCTTAGGTGGCAATAGTGATTGTAGTGAGGGTGTTAGGGGTGGCGGGACAGTGACAGTGATAATAAGGTGGTGGCAGCGATGGCAGTGGTGGGCCACGGTGGTGGTGATAGTTATGATGGTGGTTGTGGAAGTGATGGTGGTGATTGTTGTGGCAAACGTGACAGTGTGGTAACAGCGGCAATAGTGGTGGTGGTGATAGTGGTAGTGGTGATGGTGGTGGTGCGGTGGCGACGACAACGACGGTGATGGTGGTTGTGGTGGTGGGGGGTTGTAGCGGTGTTGGTGATGGTAGAGTGGCGACAACAGTGGTAAATGGTGGTGATGGTTATTGTGGCAGAGGCGGTGGTGTGGTGGTAGTGGCAACAATAGTGATAGTAGTGATAGTGATAGTGGTAGTGGTGATGGTGGTGGTGGTTGGGGTAGTTATGGTGGTGGGATAACGGTAGTGGTGGTAGTAATGATGGTGGTTGGGGTGGTGGTGAGGTAGTTTTAAACACTACCTTTGTTTTTTTTTTAAGTACTTATAAAATTAATAGGTTTTATAATCACTTTTTAAAAATTACCACAAATACATCTTTAGAGGTTTATTTTTATTATTAAATTTAGGATGTTAATATTAGCCGTCGGATTAGCTTTAAAGTAAAATTTACATAGATCTCAATCGCGAAAAAAAAAAAGTTATTTTATTTATCTTTTGAAATTTAAATTGTATTGTACTTTATTATTTAAATTATTGTCAAATGGGTAATAGCATACCATATTGAATGAAATTCGTTTTAAATACAACAATAACAATGCATCAAATCTCTAAATTAGTTCAAACTCTTATTATTATGAGCAATGCTACAAAATTCAAATAAAATATAAACAATTACAACTCAAATACATATCAATCCTTAGACGAGTGAGTTCTATTAATTTTTTCAGCAAGGTCCACTCTTCTCATACTCATCTAAAGGATGATATGTATTTATGTTTTAACTTTTGAGTTTCATTTAAATTATGTAACATTTTTCTTATTATTATAATTTCAATAAGCTTCTATTTTCAGTTCAATTCCTTCCATTTATTTCTCAATCCATCATCCAAATCGACAAGTACACACAATTTGAGAGCAAAATGGAAGAAAAATAAAAAGAGGGTATTTCTCTACAACTTTTTTTTTAGTTTTATTTTCTAGTAACAAAGAATTATCCGATGGTGTACATCTTTCTACTCTATTTATAAATATTAATTTTAAATATGTGTAATTGCATATAAATTGTGCATATCAATTATAACAAAATTTTCTTGCGATAATCAAACTTAAAACTCCAAGATAATAATCCTTAAAATCTTTTCATTTGAGCTATACTCACAAAATGTATTTGTCATATTTTCTCTTTTAATTCAATAATAACATGACACGTGTAAAACTTTTCAATTTCACATTAGTTTATTGTATTTTTAGTATAAAAAACTATAAATGCATCAAACCAAAATTTATGGCTACAACTCACTTAATATATATATATACTATAGCCCAATCCTATAGTTTATGTAATGATCATCGTAATTTTGCATGAGGCTATGGTACCAAAAAAACAGAAAATAAATTGATACCATACTAAAATGATTTGTAGCCGTAAATTTTGTCCTGATGTTGTATCATTCACACCCTTAAATTTAACACTTTGTTATATTTACCATTTAATTTGCCCACAATTTAATAAGTTTTACATGTGTCATACACTTATTCACCCAAAAAAAGAGCAATTTTTGGGCACCATAATTTTATCCTTTACTTCGTGATACTCAAAACGAATATGTAGATATGTTACTTCACATATTTGTCGGTGAGTATTCAGTAGCAAAGCTAAAAATTTTGTCTTATGCTCCGTTTGGTAGGAAGGATGGAAAGTAGAAAGAATAGAAAATAGGAGGGATACACTTTCTATCATTTAAGAATGGAAAGTTGAAAGGATACATTTTTCTTCATTTATGTTTGGTTAGATGGATGAAAAATAAAAATTACTATTTTTTTTTGTGCTGACTAAAATTAAGGATGACAGTAAAGTCAAGTCGAGTCATGTCGTGTCAGATTCGTGTTAAGTCATTACGAATTTGTGTCAAATATTAGTCAAACCTAACTTAACTCATTTAACTAATTGTATCGTGTCGAGTTGTGAGTTTACTTATTTATTTTTGTATCGAGTTCGAGTCGTGTTATCGTGTTGAGTCGAAAATTTTCACCTTTAGTTAAGATGAATTTTTTTTTTAATTTAAATTTTTTTTATTTTTTATTTTTTAAAATTAATTTTAAATTAATTTTTTAAAATATATATACATATTTTACTATTGTATTTTTATATGAAATTAATGTATACATAAGATATATAGACAAATAAGATACATTTTAACACAAATAATTAATTTTTTATCCACTTTCCTTCCGATTTTGGAGGGACTGATTATGCTGAGTTGGAAGGAAAGTTAATCCATCCACTTTTTCATCCTTCTTACTTTCCTTTCTTACCAAACATGATGTTTTATTTATCCCTCCAACTTTCCATCTTTTAAACTTTTCATCCTCCTACTTNCTTTCCTTTCTTACCAAACATGATGTTTTATTTATCCCTCCAACTTTCTATCTTTTAAACTTTTAATCCTCCTACTTTTTCATCGTACCAAACGGAGCATTAGGTGGGCACTCTAACTAACTAAAAACTTTAAATTTTTCTCCGCAAAGAATAAAAATAAACCAACATATTTAAATATAACGGATATAAACAAAAAAAAAAGATTAATTAAAACCCTTGAAAAAAATAAGGTTAATTTCATAACATTGACCCCAACAAGCTTTCATACTTTGAAAGTGTCATTTCGTAATTTTATTATAAAAAAAAAAATCTATATATAACATCAAGTTATAAGTGATTCATTATTGATCACTTATAAAATTATGTAACCAAGTTTTTACAATTTTCATAGCTTAAATAATTATAAAATGAGGCTAACATATCAACAATTTACCTAAATATGTTTGTAATGTATTCAAAGTATGTGCACAAATTTATAGTCACTTAATTTTAGGACATACTAATTAGTAGGATAAGAAAATAAATAGAATGGACATATTTAAATATACCTAACAATTGGCATAAATAAATAAATAAATTATATATATATATATATATATATAAAATTTTAAAAAAAATCCAAGGTGAGTCTGTGCCTCTGGTCACCTCTTGACTCTGCTACTATGAGTATTGTTATTCAGTACCACATAATTATATGTAAAAGACCGCATCACATCTACATTGGATGCAATATTAAAGTCCTAGTATATGTTTTGGTCATTGAATAATTAGTTTAGCTCTGCCAAACTATCATAAATATTATGGACACTATTGAGCAAAGCAATTTAAGGTCTGGCAAACCGGGTCTGGCTCCTCTGCGGTAAGGGGGTTACCGCATGTTATGCGGTTTAATTAAAACGGCACCTTTTGGGTGTTTTTTGCAATTTTTTTAACAGCCCTTGCCAAAAACGATGTCGTTTTTGGTCCTTCAAATCCTTCGACTCTGCACCGAAGCCTTCTCTCTCTCTCTCTTTCTCTCCATGTGAATTCCGTCGACAACTATGAAGGTCCTCAACCCCAAAATCCCTACCAGCCCTGAAATTCTCTCTCGGATTCCAATATTCTCTCCTAAATTTCCCTCCACGGCATGGGGTAAGAAAAACCCATCAAGAGTCGGCATACCCAAATCCAAATTGCCTCTATAGTCACCATTTTCACTATATCTACGCCTCTCTAGTTCCAGAAAATTTCAAATTTCTGCTCATTTTGGCTGGTCCACAACCCGTCGAAACTCTCTGAGAAAAAAGCTCAATGAACAACAACAAGAATGACAGTAGGTGCGTAATGGGTGAACTCGTCGTGGTTGGGGTTCGTGACGGAGACGAATTGGAAGAATGTGAAGTTGACGGTGCCGTTTTGGATGGAGAAAGTTGGGAATTGGACGGCTTCGACGGCAATGTTTGGGTCCTTGGGCTTGAAGACGAAGAAGTAGATAGGATTTCAGATGCCACAGTAGGAAGAAGGCGAAGGATTTGAAGGAAAAAAAACGACGTCGTTTTTGGCAAGGGCTGTTAAAAATAAAATTGCAAAAAACACCCAAAACGGTGCCATTTTATTAACCGCATGACATGCGGTAACCCCTTTACCGCAGAGGAGCCAGACCCGCGATAGTGGGGGCAACGGGGGCAGTTGCCTCCACTGTGATACCCCTATTAAAAAATTGTAAAATTTTAGGGGTACTTCAATATTTTAGAATATAAGTAGATAAAAATTAAGCTTAGAATTCAATATTTGAAAATTTTAAAGCATGAAATATATATTGGATTAAATTATTTTAATTTAATTAGACTTGAACAATTTATTTGTTGAATTAAATTGATTTTATATCAAATTTTGGTCTTAATAAAATTGTGATACATAGAATTTTTTTTCAAATCTTTTATATTAATTTTGTTCTATTTTAATTATTTATTTCCTTATAAATGGTTTCTTAAAGATAAGGGTAAAATATTTTAAGTGGTGAAGGTGACGATGGTGGTGGTGACCAGAGCTTATTTTAAGTGGTGATGGTGACGATGGTAGTTGTGACGAGAGTTTATTTTAAGTGGTGGTAGTAGTGATTAATAGTTGTTTTTTTTTTAAGGACAATGATAATTGGTAAGATTTTTTTTTTCTTGGATGACTTGTGCATTTTTTTTTTCTACTTTAATAGTTGTAGCGGGGGTCATCTTTCTTTTATTTGTGTGATAATGGTGATTAACTTGACTTTAATTTTTCTTTTTGACAGTGGCAATTGTTATTATCTATTTTTTATCTTGTTGTGGAGGTGTGATCAATTAGATTTTGCTCTTGGCCTATGACATTTATTGAATTTGATGATACTTAGAGCAATTCCCAAGTATGAGTTCGGGAGCGGAGGTCAGACGCACAGAGCTCATAAAACCAGAGTAAAGCCTAGCCCAATTGAAATAGCAGTAGAAGTAATAAAGAGATAGCTATTTGTNATCAGATTTCTTTACTGTTGTCTCGTCTGCTTATGACTTGTACTGACTTTGGCCTCTGTCTACTTATTTTAAATCACAACTCAAGCTTCCTTTTTTTTTTTTTATATCATAACAGGGGAAATATTTGATCTATTTCTTGCAAACAGAAGCACGTTTATGTCATTGTTCTTAGTCAGAGTATAATCGAGGGTAAATTTCAGGTGTATGAACCGGTCTCTCAACCCATATACTAGTTAAATCAGAACTTGGGTTTTAATAGGGATTCGAACCCACACAAAAGACTTGGATACGATTTATTCAAAGTTCAAACAACTGAGGTCTGTCCAATCAACCAATCACACTTTTGTCACTCACAGACTTGAATCATTGACCTCAAAAAGACAAAACTTTCGTAAGATAAAAAATATTATTGAACCAAAGGTTCATTGGTCACAAATCAAGTTATAATCACTAGATAATGGATTTTTTTTTAAATGATTAGAGAAATTCTTGGTTTGTCCTAGGCGAGAAAGAGGCGATTTAGTTGCTCAGACTCAACCGAGGGCAAATGTCAGGTACATGAATAAGCCCCTCAACTGATACACCAGTTAAATCAGGATTTGCGTTTCGGTAGGATTTCAAACTCACACCAGAGACTTGGATACATTTCGTCCTAACAATTGAGATTTGTCCTACCAATCAACCACATTTTTTGTCACCTAGAGACTTAAACCCTTGACCTTGTAAAAGCTAAACTTTCACAAGACAAAAATACTATTAAACTAAAAATCCATTAATAGTAAATTTAAGTCTCCTCTCTCTGGGAGTATATATGTTTGAATATACTTGATCTTGAGCTCAAATAGGAGTTCGTAGTACAAGACAAGACAAGTGAAGCCAAGCATACACCCAAGCATATAATTGAACATTCAAGCTCGACAACAAAACTTGGGCAGAATCCGAAAAAGCTTGTCTGTTCCCTAGTTTTAACCTTATCAAAGCTTGGGTCAGAGGTGAGTGTCAAGTCGAGTCGAGTTGAAGTTAGGTCTAACTGACTTTGATTAATCTAAGCTCTATAACTCAATCGTAAAGCTTGAATCTGCATACACTCGACAAATGAGATGACAAAAACCTAACACTTCTTTAGTCTTACTTTGATTGATTGTTCGGTTCCATAGAACATGATTGCACTAAAAATCTAAAACCTTGTTAGTTAACAAACATGTGAACATAAACATTTATGTTTACACCAACTCAACTTGTCTTGTGTGTTTTTTTCTCAAAAGAAAACATGACTTGGTTCACATGGTTGGCATCCCTAATAGCCCATGAAATAAATCCATCCTATTGCATGTGGTCAGGTACTGCCACACACGAATTTATAACTCCATGAACCTGTTCTAGTCTCTAGATACTGTTCATCCACTCAAACGATATACCATGAACTGAAATTTAGGGTTAAATATTTTTTAAATTGTAAAAATTAAAGTTGTCTATCACTTACTATAGACCGAAACTTTATGCATCATATACGACCTAAAAAACAATTATTGCGTCAAAACTATTACAATCCTGATTCTTTTGCTAATGACAAACCAGGGAATGAGAAAGACATAGCATAGCAATCGACTTGCAAGAATTGTCATGTAATTTTGTCAATTGATTATCATTTCTTCTATTTTTGTCATTTTGATATTAGAAAAAAAAAGGAAAAATAAATTGTATTATGAGATCAGTGAAAATATATGATTACTGAATTTTTCTCAATAAAATAAAATCAAGTACCCTCCACACATACCCATCGATGATATACAGTCTATCATTAAAAAAAAAATAAAGAAAAAATGTATTAAAATAGATCCAAATTCAAAAGAGGAGATGGCTACGGTATTGCCAAAAAATTGATTTATAGTTGTAAATTTTGGTTTAATTAATAAATTGTAATTAATTAGCAAAATAATATGAAATAATAAAATAAAAAATCTTATGTAAGATAGTTTTCATTGGACGAAAAACATAAATACGGTATTAAAAAATATTTTTTTTCCTACCATAATTCAATGCTACATCCATCTATCACAATCAATGGATACCGTCGATCATTGAAGCATTCTCAAAACACCAAAAGGACTTCATAAATTTTGACACCCCACAAAATGAAATAGAAAGAAACTTCATGATCAGACGGTGAAAACGACATCATGTACTTAAACCTAGATGGGACCCTCACACGGAACTGAAAGTACAATGCAATAAAGAGTATTAAACTTTGTATACCATACCTCATGTGATAAGGAGTAGTTGGTAATGTGACATGTGTCTACATGAACGGCTAAGAGCTTCCTCAAATCTAAAATCCTGTCCGTAGATATTCCCTGAAGTAAAAAGCCGATGAAACGTTAGAAACATAGAATAATTACCCCTTCCTTACCCTGCACCCCAAATAGCAAAGTATTTCCCTTAGTACTCACCTTTAGCGTCACTTGAGACTCCTCTGGTGTTTCAACAGTTATTTCTACTACAGTTGGTAAAACTGTAAAAAAAAAAGGCAAAGTTAAAACATGTAAGTGAAAATTTTTGAAAAGCCACAAAAAAAAAATAAAAATTGAACTATTTATTGTTGCGAGTAGTGTTCCCATAAAATTAAAACAATACAGATAAGATTAACATGTAAAAAAAATGTTGGTAAAATTGTAAAAAAAAAAGAGGCAAAGTTCAAACATTTTAGGTGAAATTTTTTGAAAAGCCACAAAAAAAAAAAGAAGAACTATTCATTATTGATTTTTCATTTTCGAGTAGTGCTCCGATAAAATTAAAACAATACAGAGAAAATTAACATGTAAAAAAAATGTGTAAAACTATAAAAACAATGTTGGTAAATTTGTAAAAAAAAAAAAGAGGCAAAGTTCAAACATTTAAGTGAAAGTTTTTGAAAAGCCACAACCAAAAAAAAAAAGGACTATTAATTATTGATTTTTCTTTTTTCGGGCAATGCTCAGATAAAAAAAAGATTAGTATAGGGTGGCATGCGCAAATCAAAAAATAATTACTCCATCCATTTTATGGTTAAACAGGAAAAATTTGGAACCTTATTATAATGCTATGATTTAATGGCATTCCTAGTTTACAAGCTGAATTAGTTCAAACCAGCTCGAAGTTTCTACACTATACACTAGATACAACAACATTTTTTTTTTGTTTTATGTTACTTATTTATAAGCAACATCTTAGTTTGATACAAAATTAAAGAAGGGAAAACATATCACAATGTTTTGAGATAGTATGTCATTTGTATTTTTACAACTGGAATTAGTTTGAATACATTCAAAATTATTATTGTTAGTAAAAAATATTTTCAACACCGCTTTTTGTGACTTAATTCATGTATAATGTAACATTCTCGTCACGTAAAATTAATTGGAAGAAAATAAGAATATGTTAAAACATTTTTGAATTTCTTAAATCGGCTAGAAAATATTTTCAAGAGTTGTCTCCTTCTAAATTAATTCGTGAATAAAATTTATGAATAAAGATTTTGAAACTACAAAGCAAATCAGGATTATCAAACTACGTACTCAGACATAGATACATATGTGTGCGTGTGTGCTTTGAAAACCGTGCCTATACATCTACATGTTTTTGTTTTGTTTTGCTTCGTATCTTTTCCTTTGTTTTCTTAGCTACCAAACAGAAAATATAATGGAAACAATACTTCAGCTGAAAGTAAAGAAGAAATGAGGTACACCACACAAAAATCAAACTCACCTTTCTCTTCCTTCTTCTTTTTCTCTCCCTTGGCCTTGTGAGGTTTGGCCTTTCCAGTTTTAGGAGCCATTGGCTGACTATCTCTTTTTCTCAAAACTGTTGGATTGAATTAAACTTCTTGATGCTTCAATCCAAACTTATCGACGGCAATGACAATGCTATACAAATATAGTATTCGTCGGATAACAACTTTCTCTGAACAAACAGTAAGAAAAATTTCTGCCAGAAATTCAGAACCCAATCTTTTTAATTAGAATCTCGCAATACCCAAAACCCACTAGAAAAGAACTGATAAACATTGCGAAAAAAAGAATTTTTTAATTGGAAATTGATTAAGTTGAGGAGATGAACTGAGATACAAATGAATTTTGGAGGGGTGAGAAAATGGTTTGGAGAGACTGAATTATGGTAATAGCATATTGCAGACACACACACACACACACGTATACACAGAGAGTGAGAGAAAGAGAGAGGTGAATGCTGGGGGTATTGATGTGTGTAGTTAAGAAGGGTCGAGGGGCACGAGCAAAAAAAAAAAGAAGGGTCGAGGGGGTTTTTTCTTCTTCTTCAACTGTTATACTTTGTTGAGCTTATTAAAGGAAGTGAAGCAAAGGTGGATAGGGGCCGGTGAAAGCAGAGAGAGAGAGAAAGACTGTGTTAGTGAGCTGAGAGAGAGAGAGAAAGAGAGGGGGAGAGGGAGAGGGAGAGGTGGATAGGATAAGGTAACCCAACCCACAACTCTTCTTCTCTTTGTACGCACTCGGAAGAAGATTGAAGAATGTGAGGCTGGCGAATTGGAGCCTCTCATTTCTCTTCTCCTTCCTTAAAAGATCATCTCTCTCTCTCTCTCTCTCCATTTGTAGCATTGTCATTAGGGACTATAAAGAGCTGATAGGGAAGTTATCGGTATTCTATTTTTATTTGACCATTTTACCAAGAATTTTTATTTTTCTTTGTCTATTTGCTAGTTCTGTGGGATAAAATAAGAGTTTTTTTTTTGTGGATAAAACCTTTAACGCTAAAGTTTATGCCACGTCTATATTACTCCTGTTTGTAATCATAGCAATTTATTTTTGTTTAATAATAACAAGGGTTTGATTGATTGCACTCTACAAAATTTTGAATATCACACAAGTCTAAGATTAGGCTATTCATAAAGATTTACTCTCATAATTGTCCTATATACATATAAGCATGAATCCGAAGGATTATATGTACTAGAAAAAAAATTAATTGTCAATCTCTTCCCGTAAACTGAAAAAAAAAATGAGTAACATTTTGGGGACATTAATAACACTAACCAAAGTGACGCCTACTTGAATTGAGCCAATTCGAAGAAAGGCCGAGTCTGTGACTTACTTCCAATTTGTAGAAAACATTATTTTGTCAAATATTAGTATGTGACGAAATTGGTGGTGATAGATAGGTTGGTGTCGACAGTGGTGGTGTGGTAGTGATGATGGTGGTGATTATTATGATGTGGTGATGGTGGGGTGGCGGAGATGGTGGGGGTGATGGGTTGTAATGCAATGGTGAGAAAGTATTCGTATTGGCAAGGTAGTGGTGATTAAAATAAGTATTCATATAAACATTCATAGTAATTCATATTTATCCACTACTTAAATTTGACTATTAGTACCCAACTCGTTTATAGATTGGAGGGCAGATCAGAAGCCCAAAACCCAAATGATGAGTCACTCCGTGTGGCCTGCACACGCCAATACAAGTTTTGGTAGGCCGAACCCCAAGGGCATGTTTGGATGATTTTAGGATGGAGGGATCCTTTTAGCAAACTCCTGCAAACCTAAAGCCTTCTTTTTTGTACACGGGTCTCATGCATAAGTTCTCTCTAAACATTTGTTTAGTCAGTACTATAAAATTCTGTGGAATTTAGGGATTATGTGCAATTATAATTAAGTATTTATCATTTAATTGACTAAATTATCCTATTCAATCATTTGTATAGATTAGGAATAGAAAAATCTTTTTACCATTATATCCTAGGTTGGTTGATTTTAACCCACCCTACCATGAATTTGTTGAAACCCATATTCATTGATTTTATTTTTCGGGTCAGAATATGAATCTCAA